TCACTGTTGTTACGCATGCTGTGATTGGCTGAGACTCGGTCACATGACACTGAATAAATGGATATTACATGGTATATTGCACGCCAAGTGGATATTACATGGGTATATCACATGGATGACGTCACTGAAACTAACTGCGCAGCGATATTGCGCATAACAAATTGTCGATCGCTGCACTGGTGCTAGCCGGGCCGCAGTTGTTTTCGGGGTTGCTTTCAAGGTTTTGAAGGAACTTTAGCCATTCGAAATAGACATCGAACATGCCAGAATAGATATTGAGTAAGATACTTTGTTTTGATGTTTAGGCTATTTTTCATATGAAGCAAAAATGTACGACAAAGCCGCCACTGCAACGTCGCAGCCGGGGTCGCTGCGGCGCGTTCTACGCTGTGAGCATTTCTATGCGTTCCACGCCGATGCTAACCGAAAACGCTGTAAAGCTGTGTTGGCTTGTGAATAGGTGTGGTACTTTGGTGCGAAAGTAATTTCAGTCACTTCCACGGCACTGACATTTTTATCTATAGAGTGATCAAAAAAGCGTTTGAGAATTTCTCAATTCATTTCAAAAAATGTGTGTGAGTGATGTATGGTAGCTGATTGTCTTGGTGAATGTCTGTTCGATGTGATAAAATAAATAACGCATGCTTATTCGGGCAATATCACGAGTATTATACCGTCACAGGCATGTGTTATTATTTAACTATTCATTTCAGTATGCCATTTCCAACACAATAACCGATGCAAGCACATTAGGGGAAATGGACTGACGATGAGACTAAGTACTATTCCCTTTTTATTCTGCAAACTGCACTTTCTGAATTTGTTTTGGTATTGTTTATATGCTTAGAACTAACATATACATTCCTGGGTACTGTACTGACTGTATATTTTATTTGTAATAATAATAATAATCTTTATTGAAACCGCATCCCGGATGTGGGATCTTGGTAAAGGGAATAATGAAACAGGAACAACAGAGAAGGATAAAAAATACAGCACTGATAGGATGAAAACTAAATAATATAGTAAATCCCGTGCTAACCAATATTTCTTCCCATTCGTGAATGCAATTGGGTCTATCCATTATGCAAACATTTTAGTCTGAACTGGTATAGACTGAACACGACTAATTGAGACCCGGGCGTGAAATAAATATATCGGCCAGTCTCCTGTATATTTTCCGCCGGGTTTCTATTGTATACATGTTCAGCTTGACATGTTGGCGTGAGTAGGCCCTCGCCGGCCGAACGGCATCAGACCCGACCTCACTAACGGATTTTCGGCACCGCTGAAGGCGCAACTCACGCGACCACGCCAGGGCCATATATAAAACCGGTATCATGATTTGTCACGTTATTCACTTCGTGTAAAAAGTGAGATATCAATCATTAGTTGCCACAGTAACGAGGTTGTAACCTACATGTATCTATGCTATATCTATGCAAGGCAAAATAATGTATCTAGTAAGTCATGTTGTCATGGTAATGTTCATGTTTTCGTATGAAATTTTGTAATTTTATTACTCTCAGTTTAACAAAGGCATTCACTCTATCTTTATGAATATTTATGATTTCTTAATTCAAAATTTTAACTGTTTTCAAATGCCGTACTGTGCTCGTATGTTATTGAGTAATGTGAAATAAATAAAATATTGCATACTTCAAATATAAGTGTTGTTATTTTGTGGGAGAGCGGGTGTGAGTGATGTATAGTAGCTGTGATTGTCGTGGTGGATGTCTGTTCGATGTGATAAAATAAATAACACATGGTTATTCGGGCAATATCACGAGTATTATACATTTATTTTTTTAAATATTACTCGTATTCAGGCTACACCTATAGGCTAATATTTAAGCTAATTCTCAACGACGGACCAGTAACAGTAAGTCAGTAGAAAACAAAAGATTTTTTTGTTAGCTTGGGGGAAACAGACGTGTCTATTCTAAATCTTTGTCTATTCTTGTTTATGATTGGTCCTGGCAACGTCTTATAATTGCATAACGGCTACTAGCATATCCAATTGCGTTCATGAACCGGAGGGGTCTTGTTAAAATTAACAAATTTTCAGTCATTTAAACTACTAGCATGCTTACTTAGTACAGTAACCATGGTTATAAAAGAAAAACAATGCAAATTAAGAATGTACAGATTGCAGAGTAACAAGAAGTAGCGCAAATTGTATCGTCAGTCCAAATTTTATAAAGATGAAGGAGATGCCTTTGTTGCGATGAGAGTAATTACAGCTCTAATCCTACAATGGAATTCATTATCACTGTACACGCTTTACTCCGGAGTTAACGACCAAATCAGTTTGCTTAAATTACAATACACTTTTACGTCACGCCGAAAGGCCTATTCAAATCACATGCCATGCCAAGCCAGACGTACGCGGACAGATTACTCGTATGTATAACCATTAGTTCATTGTTATGCTGCGATGACCTTCAATTGAGATTTAACTGACCTCTGGTATTTGGTTTCCAACTGTGTATCCGCAGTCAGGCAAGCCTGCCATGAATCAATCTCTGAACAAATGACGATATATTTTCTGAGCCTCCAGCTTGCCGCGACAACATTTAAAGGTATACACGCAAACACGCCATAGGTCTCATCCACGACAGAGATATCAGCCATATTTCTTGGCCAGCCAGGACACTGTATGACTTTCTCTTAGTAGCAAACAAAGACACAGACCTTGGGTCCGTCACGAGGAACTCACGACACGATAGGAGCCACAATGAAGTGTACACTATGCAAACTTCCAGAAAATTTGATTGCGCTGCATTGCTGGGAAGTTGTAGTTTCTTTTTTTATTGTTACGCCATGTGTTGTTGGCTTCTGGCGAGGAATATGGACATTGCTGGATATATATCTTCTACCAGATAATGCCACTATGAGTTCCTGGTTGTCCGTGCTCATAGGACTTGGAATAATCATTATGCAAAACTTGTTACAAAATATACACAACATGTGTTTCCCATTCAAGTCATGGCAATGGCATATATACAGTCGTTTGTATGTATGTGTTCAAGCCATTGCGGTTATAAACCATTGGCGTGGTATATGGGCGTTATGGGACATCTACACCACAACCAGTCTTACCAGTTCCCTGATGACTACTGCCGTGGGCTCGATCGCAGTGTGGTTGCTTCGATCGAGCAAGAATGTGCCAGCTCAACCCACTGTGATAAAGCGTGACCACGACAGGGCCGTTTTTGAATACACAACGCGATTTGAGGTGGATTCAAAGACATTGAGTATAAAATTTATACTGGATATGCTGCTGACCTATGTCGTGATTCACAGTTTTGTGGTGACGTGCTGGCGGGGTATATGGGTCTTGATGGATAACATCTTACTACCTGAAAATTTCACATACTCGACGTGGGCGTCGGTGGTTCTTGGATATGCCGTTTTAATAATCATTTATGCATTACAATTCCCTGCTATGAATTTATCCAAGAAAATAAGAGAGAAAACACATTGGCTTTTACAACTGACTTTTGAAGGTGCATTTGTATATATAGCAGGGATTTCTGTGATTAGTATATGGCGTGGTATTTGGTATGTCTACGATATTTACATTCTGCCGGAGGATCTGGCTGATAGTTGTTGGATCACTGTCACCGTAGGCGCTGTTATTCTGTACGTTATTCTGGCCGGTAGAAGCCTTGGCGCTATCGAATGTCTAGTTGATGGTATACCTTCTGATGGTAGCGGATTGTATTTCTTGCACTACCTCAATGTCCTGGTAAGTTGATCTATTTATAGAAATTTGGTTGTGCAATATAACTCTGGTTTTGCATTCAGAGTTACTGCTAATTCCTCACTGTGTGTAATATGACATAAACACTGTCACGTGACCAATTACAATCTCAAACAGAACCCATGCATGAGTGCATTTACATAACCACAAATAGCATAGTGACATCTAAACCGAGCCAAATAAAACATTTACATACTAGTACTGCTATTGGTACGTATGAAACATTTAGCAATTTGTTAAATCACTAGAGGGACTGTGGTTAAATCAAGGAGCTAATTACCGCAACGCAGTAACAATTGACATAGCTTATCGGCGTTTCCGTCATAACGGAATCCGTCTGAGTGTTGATAACATTCTTCCCAATATTACATTTTAGCATGACCGAGTCACGTCAGTTCTGAATTCAGAGAAGTGCCCGACTCTTGGCAGTTTTATCACAATATGTTTCCGTTCTGAATACATTTCCTTTTCAATGTTTGTGTCCTGTATAAACATACCATTTACTGTCATTGGCTGCAAGCTCTCCGTTATGCGTGAAATCGAACTTAAAAACACGAGCGGATTGGACAGTTTTATTTTGGGGTATAGTGGCGGATCAAGGGGGGTTCTTGGGGTCCGGACCCCCCGTTGAAATATTAATTCATTTTTTTTAATAATATAAACAAATTATTAACTTAGTCTGGTGATTTTTAGTTTGGACCCCCCCATAAAAAATCCTGTACCCGCCCCTTAGGTATTTCCATGCTTGACAATGTGCTATACGTTTTTGATGATGGTTAATTTTGATAAGGTGAGGGTATCCCAAAGCCACCTTCCTACCTGAAAGATAGGCATTTTGACAAAAAATAAGTTATTCGATTTTTTGCGGCAGACGTTCGGTCTGGGCCTTTCAAGCAATACGCGAGATCTCGCAGTTAACGGGAAATTATCTAGAATACACGAACCATACATCGAACTCACGGCCACAGCTAAGCACATTGTTACTTTGTACTTTAAAAATATTCCCTAGATTTGAAATGGTAAATTCTCTCAAGAGAACATTTTGTTCACTACTAGTATTTACAACAAGGGTTCCTTATCTGATTTGGTGAGCACAATTTTGCTGAATTGTAAGATTTTACTCACCTCATCTCCAACCTCGCCCTGTGTATATTAGTATATCAGATAGTGGTTATATCACATGTAATCACATTACAAATATTTACTGTTCTCTCTCTGTATTTAGAACGCACAAATAGATGAACCTGACGTGGATGACACTAAAGATGAAGTTGAGCTGAAGACAAGCGATGTGGCCACACAAACAGCAGAGATCGATTTATATTTCGACCAATTTGTAGAAGTAGAAATTAATCAAAATATAAAGTATACATAGACGCCGTCTATGAAATACCATCACTCACTTTTATTTCGCTCACTGCCTTAGATTTCATGAAATACAAAAAAAATATTTTTACAAATTATACGGATTAATTCATGACATATCACTATGCCATCAGTATGAAATAAAAATTAAATACCAATGTAATGTTCTAATAATATGCTATGGTTACAATTCGAATGGTCGTATTTGATGAAATCTTTTCAACATAGTGACGTTGTTTTTATATCGTATAGCTACAGCTAAGATGGTGTGTTTTAATAATCGGTGGATACAGTTTAAAGCGGGAGGGTCGTCACCTGCGCACGCGCGAGAGTCGAGTCCAGTCCCAAACGGCGATAACAACACACGCAAAAAACGCAAAGGCTCATGGGCAGACACTTGTTTGTAAACAATGACACGCTATGGCCATCTGACGCATGCGTTTTAGCTGCGAATGTTTTCATTGCCATACATCTAAACTCATATGTATCACATGAATAATGTTGTTGGTGATATATGAATGAACTGGAAGACCAATTGTGTATTCATTTTGAGGTATAACAAGAATTTATAAAATCATATTACATGTATTTAACAGATTGTTCTTATTTTAGAAATACAAGTACTTGATACTTCGGTATTGTTATGTTATTGTTTCTGTCAACTTTTCATTACAAAAAACTGTCCAATCATCGAGATTGCATCTTAGCAAGCCAAGGTTCATCTAATTTTCCGTCACCTCATCTTTATACCTTGGCAGAACTCCCACTATGTAATATGTGTGGGAAAAGGTTCTACGTAT